ACTTGATGATCTCAGAGGTGTATTCCAGCCTTATGACTCTATGATTTATGGTTTTCTGCAACATCTCACTGAAGAACAGTCTGTCTTCTGAAATTAGGTGTCTCTACTTAGCAGAGAATGAAGAAATTATTTCTTTATTCCAGAATACTTTTGAACTAAATTTTCATTACATGAGCAGTGTTGCTAGAAGGGAAATAGCTTTATTTTACATTGTGTGTCTTCACAATACTCTGATCTGATTTTGAAGTTGGTGGGTTTCAATTGTGGTAGTGCACAGACCATTTTGGGGGGCTTTGTGAAAGGAAACAAAGGGAGAAAAAGGTTATTGTTAGATCGAATTTGACATGGCCTTTTAAAAGGACCTTCTTACAAGTTCACAAATTTTCATTACATGAGCAGTGTTGCTAGAAGAGAAATAGCTTTATTTTACGTTGTGTGGCTTCACAATTAATTAAATAATTAAAAGTTTGATCATAATGTGGAAGAAATGAACAGCTGGTCTATTTCTTCAATACACTTAAGGTGCCAGCTATCCAAACTACTTCAGTAATTGTTTCTTACTTGCATTACTTGTTTGCCTTCTTTTGAAACAGTAAGCTTTGAAAATCTCTGACAGGACGCTCCTGAGGTCTTTTCAGTATTATAATTCTTTTCTTTTGATAATTTTGTTTGCTGATTTATAGCTACAAGGTGCCGGGTATTGAAACACTTAAAAGTAGAAAATGCCCCAGTTGTCAATCGGTTTGACTATGCGCAGTGCAAGAAGTTAAACATGGACCAGGTTCTGGATCAGATTCTCAGGATGCCACCAGAAAGAAACCGGATCATTTATCTTCGTCCAATGCAGCAGGTACACAACGAAATTTCATTTAATCATGAACAGATCTGAAGTTCTGCCTGTATTCTTTTACCACTTTTGGTGGTTTCTCAGTTACACAAGGAATGTAAATGTTACAACAACACAGCTCTGAAAAACTTGTTTATTAAAACTTTAGCCCATCAAGGCTTTTATTGTAGAATCTGGAACTTGGATGATACTGAATTTTAAGATTTAATGCTAGCATGTCAATATTCATTGGATTAGAAGATACTGTAAAAAATCATGATACATTTAATTAATTCCAAACTGACTAAAAGTAACTGTAAGAACCCAGATGCTACTAAGTCAGCTTGTCGTTATGTATAAGCAGCACAACATAGAGCCATAGGTATCTGAAATTTTTAACCTATGTCCTGTTAGATTTAGTAACAGCAGTTAGTGTTTCGAATACTACTTTGCGGAAAGCTGCATCCTCTTTTGATGCTAAACAGTGTTGCAAGACAGTTGTGACACTGGGAGCCACCCTTTCCTCACCCAGATTATGTGTCGGAGTTGTAAGCACTGACATTTAGTGAATTGTTGAGGTCATTTGACAAGTAATTGAGAGAGCTTAATTTAAGATCTGGGATGGGTTTTTTGACTTTATTACTCTAACCAGAGCATTCTGTATTATACTGTGACACTGCTTATCTCATGCAGAGTAATGCTTTTTGTGGCTGTGTTTGCCAGACCAGTGAGGGAAGGCTGATTTGATATAAAAGCCACCTTTTCTTTCAAACCAGATTTCTTGCTTTAGTTCTTAGAGGACAGCAGTAAGACTACTATAAAAGAACGGGGGGGGGGGGGGGGGGTGAACGAGGGACGATGGACACGACACACAACAGCCAACAACCAAAAAACAACCACTCCCCCTAAGCCAGAGACAAATTTTGAGAAAGTGAATGTAGTTTAGACTATTATGTAATTTTATGAAAGTTGACTTACATGTTGAAGTTCACTTACATCAGCAAATAGACATTTCCCATCAAATTCCACTACTTGAGAAGATTCATTGACAAAGCTGCCCTAGGAAAGTCTTACTCCACTTAATCATGTAATTTTATTACGTATGCTGTTAAAATTTCCGTTCACTGGACATGTTCCCCCAGAATTTGGGGGCTGTGGTAGATGCCTGCTCTTGACTCTAAAATCGCATCCCTGTTTGTTTCTCTTGGTTACAAGTCTTTTTTACTGCCTCTCACAGGTTGACACATTGACGCTCGAGCAAAAGATATTTAGTGGCCCTTACCCATACCACATCTGCATAATTCATGAATTCAGTAACCCACCTAATGTCCGCAATAAGGTGCGGGTTCGGAGCTGGATGGACACAATAGCAAATATCAACCAGTGAGTACTTGCCCTTCAGTAACTTTACAGAAAAGGTTCTGATTCATCAGCTGTAGCTTCAATCAAGCTGTAGGTTTGCTGTAGTTTCTTAGCCAAATTAAAAAAAAATGGCTTGTTGACTAGCAGAGGTTGGATTCTAGATGGTGCAATGTCGAATTGCAATGTCAAGGTGTATCTAATACAAAACATAGATTAAATGAACCTAAGTGTATGAAAAAGCTGTAGAATTCTTCAATTCTATTCTATTCAGCAGTAATACAGTTGAACATTGAAATAGTCAGGATGGCTGAGGAATATCTTAAAATCTGAAAACAAGTTTCTTTTATCGAAAAAAAGAGATACTGATTTACTCCAAGAAGTAATGTTAGTTTCTGGGGAAGATTATGTGTAATCAATATCAGATCCTTACTGAGGAGTAAAAATTCCCAGCAGCAGGGAACTGTATACAGTGTCTCTCATCCAACTGTTTTAAACCAGTGTTTTTGTTGTCCTGTTTTTTCTCTAAAATGACTAAAAGAACAAATTTTACTTTTGAAGTTTTGTTTACTTGCAGCTATGTTGGATAGAAAAGAGATAGAAAACTATGCTTAAAAGTTAGGTTAATGTGTTTCCCATCTGAACGGTACATATTCTCTGTGATCACTCTCAAAAGCAAAGGGATTGCATACTGAGTTTGTGTGAGGGTCTTAAAGGAGTGTTTCTATGGAGTCAGGCTCATTAAAAGAAAGGTTGTGTATAGGTTTTCCCATTTGGTTTTTATCCCTCCTGCCTTCGCATTTTCTGTCACTACTGGCTGTAAGCTCTTCCTCTTTCTCTCTAGAGAGCTTATTAAATATGAGTTCTTCCCTGAAGCTACACGAACTGATGAAGACCTGAAGAAATACACTAAGTACCCTTGGGGACGAGATATTTACACTCTAGAGGGTGAGTGTTTATAGAGAGCTGAAATGCCATCATCAGTCTTTTGCTAAGATAAGTAACTTTGCATGAAGTTACAAGAGACACGAGCAGGGAGTCTTGTGAGGAAAGTGGAGGACTTTTGGCACCAAGTGGGGGAGTTGAAGTGAGGAGGTGCTTTTCCTGCATTAGTGACCAATCTATGTGATATCAGTGAAGTTTACTTGATGAAGAGTGCTGATGCTGCAGGAACGACGTGGTCCTCTTTGTATCCTCATTCTGTCTGTCTTCTAGGCATTGTGGATGGTGCCCCTTACTCCATGATTACTGACTTCCCATGGTTGAGATCGCTGAGAACAGCAGAGCCAAACAGCTACGCTAGATATGACTTTGAGGATGATGAGAGAAGTGAGTATCTTTTTTGATGTGTTCCAAGAACTTGAACTTGTGTCTTGGTCTCAAGCTGACAATGCATTCCTTTATATTGCCGTTTTCTAATTCTTGTGCTATTTTTGCTGGACTATAAATAGCTACTTGTACAGTGTTGGGAGCTGGACAAGGAGGCGGTCAGCAGAGGAGAGGGCCGTAGTACTACAACAGTGTGCTGACCAGCTGGAGACCCATAATACACAATCAGAGAGCCAATCCAGTGCTTAGCCTAAAAATGTGATGGGTTTGATGTATCCAGAGTAATGAGTGCATTTAAAACACACACAAAACTAATGTGTAGTCCCAGCAATTCATGGTCTGTGGAGTTTGCTGGCATTACTGCTGAAAGCTCAGCTGGGCTGCTGTCTCTGGCTTTGCTTTCTGAAGGGTTGTTGAGGTAGGCTGAAGAGAGTCCAGCGAAGAGAGGTAAGGCTCACTCAGACTTGGCAGAAAAGAGGAAAGAACTGGACTTGGAAACTCTGGAACAGAGATCATGTGGGTTAGAGTTTAGGTAGATACGCCTCTTTCTGTTTAGGAGCTTGTCTTACAGTAGGCAGTTCCTAGGGCTCAATTAAGAACCTTGCTTAGTAACAGAGAAAAATATGTACTTCCACTACCTAATTAGGAAAATCTCGGAATCTGCTTCGTTAGAGGTGTTTTTAATTGACATAGTTTTGGATATTCTTACCTAGCTCTAGTTCAAGGAGATGAAGCTCAAGAGGTTGAGGAAGAAATCTTCTCTGCTTTTTATTTTTTTAATTTTCTTTGAAACTGATTCATAGAGTTAGTGCTTGTAGTGCAGGATGAAGTCTGAAATACAAAAGATTGATACATATTTGATTTAAAAGAGTAATTAGATGAAACATGGTGTTAAAGCTATAAAAAATAGACAAGACTGCTGCTTTATCCTTAATTGCTCTTGTTTACAAAACATTTAAGTGATCGCTGAAACGGATAACCTGAAAGCATGTCAGATAAGTCTCAAGGGGAAGGCTTTGTTATGCACTGGGGTTCCCTTCACTCGCAGACATGGGGACTTTGAGTACATTAAATGAGTGTTGGAGCTATCGAAAGGTTTAAATATGGGGAAGGCAGAATACTGTTTCTGCCTGAATAATATGCCCTAAACGTGGTTGATCAGTGGAAGATTGAGCAAGACTTACTTCACTTAATGTGAAAATAGATTCGCTTGTGAATTTTATAGGAAAGGTTCTAGTTTTTATTCTTATGTGCCTTCCACAGCTACTATTTATGCGCCCCGACGGAAAGGACAGTTGTCTGCAGACATCTGTATGGAAACAATAGGAGAAGAGATCTCTGAACTGCGCCAGATGAAAAAGGGTGTATTCCAGCGTGTGGTGGCTATCTTCATCCACTACTGCGATGTCAACGGTGAACCGGTAGAGGATGATTACATTTGAGTGGATACTCTCCCTAACCTGTCATCTCTTCCTAAATTTGATTGGCACTGCTGGCCGAGAAAGCAGGTGGATTCTTTCCAAATGCAAAGCGTTTTCTTGAAACACGTACTTTGCAGTTGCTCTCACACAGTTTGGAAAAGAGTATGTAATAAATGTATAATGAAAAGTAAAAATTGTATACTAAGATTTGTACATAGAGGAAACAAAAGAAAAACTTCCTAATAATGAGACTTTATTTCATATGTTTATACAATTTAATTTAAATTCCATTTTAATGAAGGCCAAGAATTAGGAACAGGGAAAATATTTGAATTTTTCAGCTCATACAATTCATAGCAGTGTTTTTTTTCTTATAAACAAAATCCCATTTGCTGTGTTTGAAAGAGTCATCGGAGTCTCTTTTAATCTGTGCCTTTTTCTTGAGCATTTACGAGTCCAGTCTGAGTAAACCTGTTGAGCACAATCTTTGGTATTTTGTGTGGATTTTTCAAAGGGAGAGAATTACTCTACAGCTGTTGCAAAGAAGGCCAAGAGCAGGAAAAAAGCAGCAAAGTTGGTGATCTGTGATAGTTTCTAGAGTTCATTAAAAACATTTTTTGGGAAAGAAAACAGCCCACGTTTAGCACCTTGGAAACGGAAGATATGTTCTAAAGCATTTTGTACCATTCGATACATTATAATAGTGTATTTGACTCTGTAATATGAAAAATAAGTTGCTAATTGTTGGTTCCACTCTCTTTAACATAAATCTGCACATTCTAACTGGCTGAAAGCTGAGTTTTCCCTTAAGACAGGCGGGAAAAGGGACATGTAATTGCTTAGTTATAGCTGTGTCAGTACAGGATCCATCTGACTCAAGCAGTGAGCTTTCAGGCTGGTTGCAACTCACTCATGAATGCAGATTTTCCGTACAGTCAGTACATGCTGTTGCTCTTTGCCCCTGAATACTCTTCTTTTTTTTTTATTGTATATAGAAAACTGGGCTGGTTCCCACAGTATCCATAGATGTTTCTTGTGTATATCCAGAATTTGCTGCAAGTCCAGTATACAGGTACAAAAATGCCCAGTTAGTATCCAGCTACCTGGCTTGTTTGCTGTTAGTGATGTGCTCTGTGGGGATGGGAGACCCCTTAAAGGCTAACGTGCCGTGCTGTGGAACAGCGTCTGCGTGTGTCCACAGCTGTGGCTGCACCCACGCCCCTTCAGGTGGGCCGTACAGTCAACTATGGCCTGCGCTGTCCTTCCTGCTTTTTTAGAGTTGCAGTGTCGCCAGCCTAGCAAGTGACAGGTTACTGACTGACTGTGGTAGAAGTCGTAGAGCCGATTAGTTTATATCATTATGCAATTTCACACATCATTGTTAGTGATTTTAATTCTTTGAACTTTGGTGCAAGTGTGACTAATGGGGATTTCTGTGACGTTTGGCTCTGTAGAACTGAGGAGACAAAACCATTCAACACTGCAAAGCCAGTGGTGGTTTTGTCAGCATCCGTCCCTCTGTGGAAGTTCTTGAGGTAATGTGGAACTAGAAATACGTTAGATAAGAGGAAGAGGATGGTGCCTAATGGAAGCAGCAAGAGATTTGGTACAGTAGCGTTTTCTCTCATGTGCTCTCTCCAACTGGAGGTGGAGCGCTAAATACCAGATAATGATGGCAATGCTATTAAATATGCTTTAATGCAGGAACAAAGTTCATGGTTTAGTTGTAATAAATGCATTTAACCATAGATAACATATTCGGTGATATTCAGACAAAACATAATTGCGACCCTTCCTAGAAGTGTTTCAAGTAACCTGAGTCATCGATTCAGTCGTGTTTACCATTTTAATGCAGCATGCACAGGAAAATGTTACTGCCTTTCTGGAGTATTGCACCGGATCTCCATCTGGTATCTCTAACTTCAGCCTTTTGAAGAAGTATTTATACAAATAACATACTTATTTATATTCAGTATTTCTTTCTGTAGGCAATTGGACCTTGCAGTAGTTTTAACCTCGTAATCATTACACCCATTTAACACGTAGCTAAACTAAATTTGTTGTGTCCATCTCATGAGGGCTCTGGGTGACTGAGATTGGATCTGGGATCTGGCCAGGGAACTGCTCTCTTCACTAAGTTCCGTATGAAATGGAGGGAAGGAGCAAAACAGAGAAAAGGATTATTTTCCTTCTCAACCTTCATTAGTTAAAAAAAAAAAACGTATAAAAAGCGGGTATAGTTCATGTCAGCAGGAGTTGCTGTACAAACGAATTCCGTGCTGGTCTCTGGCTCCAGAGGCGCTGTGCTGGGGGCGGGCACACCCGCTCCGTAGGTACCCGTCAGCTCCAGCCAAAACGCTGTCCCGGGTGTAAGGGCTTAAAAGGTCTTGACTGGTTTTCCACTGGGAAGAATGACACTTCGCAGTGGTCATTTGGGGTCCCCTCTTCTTGTGCTGTGGGTCCTTGAGTCACTGCACCAGGGCGTGTGCGCTCACCACACAGACCGCTCTGACACCAGCCCGGACCCGCTGACGCGGTGCGCGGTGGTCACGAGTGTTTCCTTTTGCCAGTTGCCTTTGACGCTGTCCGCCGGGGAGGGCTGACGACAGCCGGCACCTGCGTGCCGGGGCAGGGAGCTGGAGATCGCGTCCCTCCGCCCGGGGGCCGGGCGGGCGCTGGGGCGTGGGCACCGCCCCGCCCGCTT